TCGGCAATAGGGGTGGTTTTACCCCCACGCGGGAGGTGTTTTTCACCTTGAGCATTTTTAGGAGGGCATTCTTGATGTTACCCTTGCCATGTGGAATTCCGCCAATTTTTACCCAGATTTTGGTGACCATTTTTTCTGTTTTCTTGTTTTAGGGGTGGTTTCCACCCCTTCAGTAGGGGTAACTGATCAGAATCCGACAGAAGAACGAATTATGGGGGCATGTATTTCATATCATTTGGATTTATAAGGAAGAGTGGCACAAAAAAGGCAATTCATGAAGGAAACATCATTTGCCGCCGGTTTTCGGCAATAGGGGTGGTTTTACCCCCACGCGGGGGATGTTTTTCACCTTGAGCATATTTGAAAGAACATCCCTGATCTCTTCCTTGCCATTCAAATTCCCGCCAATTTTTACGAAGAATTGATCGACCATTTTCTCACTTTCCTTGTTTTAGGGGAGGTTTCCACCCTTTAAGTAGGGGTAAATCGGACAAATATTGGAAAAATCGAATTATGCTCACCTAGATTTTTCATGACGATCAATTTAAGCCCACGGAGACCTCTGAACGACCTTCCCCGTTCTTGGTACACACTACGCAAAAACGGGCGAAAAAATGTTTTTTTTTTGCGGTTACTCTTTAACTTACCGTTTTGAAACAAATTAAATTCACATAGTCCAACGGTTAGACTCCAACCTAACCTAACATAACCTAAAATCAAGTTATGCTCAATGTGACCACCGCCTTGTGCAATGCATAACTCATTCCTATATCGACGCTCTCGTTCCTAGTTGTAGTTCTCCATATTGTTTTTCACCTCATCAAACGCTGTATGGATCTTCTCAATGAGTTGATCACTGCAATTGGGCTTTCCCATTGAATATGTAAGTGTCTTCACATGTCCACACATGAAAAAGTCCAGCGGATTGAGATCCGGAGATCGCGGTGGCCAAGCAATAGGACCACCACGGCCTATCCATCGATTTGGCTACTTTTCATTGGGGAAATTAGTGACACTCCTTCTATAATGGGACGGAGCACCATCATGTAAAAAGAACATCATCCTTCTGATTTGTAGAGGAATGTCCTGAAGTAGTAGCGTAGTAGAAAAAAGCCCGGTACATCTCGCTGTTCAAATTTCCGCCGAAGAAATGTGGTCCGATAACTTCATCATCAATTATTGCAGCCCAAAAGTTTACGGAGAATCTTCTCTGAAAATGGGTTTCTCGAATAGCATGAGAATTTTCGATTGCTCAGAAGATCCGTGGAGAGGAGTTCTTGTATAGGGATGTAGTCCGTTTTCTCGCAAAGTGTCTTGCACAGCCTATTTTGTTCAGTAATTGAAGAAATTCTTCTTGTACTAATACATTGTCCAGTAAGTGCATTTTCAACAAGCACTTCTGCAGCATTGCTTCTTCGCATAACTTCTCTTTCACAAGTCTGTTTAGGGAATGTACCTGTTAATCGAAGAGTTGTGGAGGTTCTATATCGAACGTTTGCTTGTCTGGAAGACGGCAGTTTGGATATCGCCCTTGATATTTCCTAACTTCATTTGAATAAAATAAAGGCTGATTTTAATACAAATGTAGCAAAAAATAAAAAAACTACCAACTATCAATAATAACAATAACGAATTGACAATCAACATTTTTTTACCCATATGATCTGGTAACTTCAAACCCCGATATTTCAAGAACTGTTAGGAATTCGGGAAAATAGTATAAATTTTGTTTAAAATTAGTCCAGATCATAAAAAACACCCTGAATCTATAGTCACCTAAAAATGCTTGAGAGTTGAATGACTTCCATCTGAAGAAACGCACTTTTTCAGAAATACCCTATCTAATATATCTTTGAAAAGCTCTTTTGATAGTCTCTTCAGGTGTTCAGTTTAAGGAAAAACAAGTTGAACCTATATCTTGGAACTGACACTACACCCAATTGTCTTTCTGATGCGTTTGTAATTTTTTTAAATCCCTACAACAGATATTTTTACATTTTTCGCATTTTGAACATTTACCAAAAATAAAAACGTGCAAATATTCACATATTCACTCTACAAATATAATGGGTTAGAACATTGAGGAGAAAAATTGTGCCAGTTGCGCAGGGAAGTAATAGCCGATAAATACATATTTTTTCTTTTTCAGGCGGTGTACTCCCGAGTGGCGCGCGTGTGCAAGAACGACAGAGGTGGGCCGCACCGCTTCAGGAACCGGTGGACGTCCTTTTTAAAATCCAGGCTAAACTGTTCCGTGACGGGGGAGTTCCCCTTCGCCTTTAACGAAATACGTGAGTGCAATATTTATCCTTTTGTCCCATTAATAAGGCATTATGCATGTTTTATCTGACCTCCCCCAAAGTTGCCGCCGAAATTTATAGGTTAGCTGGCGTGGCGCAAGAATAAAAATGAGCTCCCATTCTTTTCTTCAAAAATAAACAAGCACACGCTGACGCGAATGTTCACTTTACTAGTCTGCAACATGTGTGCTGTAGTTTTCCCGGTTCTTTCAATCAATGTAGGGCTCAATTATAGTAAAATTTTAAAGAAACAGCTGTGTAGTTGTGTTATGAAGTTCTACCGGTTACAGGCACTGGCTGTGCATTGAAAATAAAGTTCCATACTTCTAATGGACTACATAGTGATTCATAAATATGTACAGGGTCGTCCACGTAACATTCTATCTTTGTTTATTTTAACTTCCATGGTCTCCCATAGCAAGAACTACAGGGGGTCAAATCAGGACTTCTTGCTAACCATACAATTTTCTTTTATAAAAGAGTTAAAAAAGGACCTTTTTTAAAACAACATATACATGTTATGTGTTTATTTGCTTTTACAGTTTGCATAATATTCGGGTATATTTACTGACAATGCAAAGTCAATTATGTGGTCCGCAAGAAGTCCTGATTTGAGCCTTATTTAGTTCTTTCTATTGGTATAATGGAAGATAAAGTAGACAAGGAAGAACCTGATAACTGCTGTGACCTAGCAATTAGTACTATCAATGATGTGGGTAGCAAAGCAATAAGGTTTTAGAATACAAACGCACTGATTCCATGGCAATCTTGACATTATCCTTTGTTCACAAAATAAACCAAAATAATATGCAAATTATCGAAGCAAATATACGATATGTACCAGAAAAATGTATCAATAAATATACAGCCTGTTCTTTCTGCAAAAACACAAGTTTGGTTTATATCTTAGAAACGCAATAGGTAGGTATTCTATTTTTTTATGTATTTGTTTGATATTGCAAGAAAATTTACCAAGACTCTAATTTCCGCAGTTTCTGTCTACATAAAAAGTTAAAAAATTAACGGAGGTTGAAAGTTGCGTGAATGACCCTGTATATTATATTTTATATAGCGATACAGTTAACTGTGTAGAACATTTAATTATTAAAAAAATCTTAAAGTCAAAAAAACAAGTAACACTATTTTTGATAGAAAACTTGTTGACAACCACTGAGTTCGCTCTAGTATTTAACACTTTTGAAATATCTCCATAAAAATGGTTTGGGCAATACTATATGTATCCTGTTATTCACATCTAGCTTATAAACTCATTGTTCAATTCTTCACACGATTTTCGAGACGAGCGTTGCGGTAAACAATTCAAAGCCTTGAAAATCATTACGTACTAGTGGGAAGAGGTTTATTTGATTTAAAGCACAATTATAGAAAGTCGAAATACGTATCTGTCGCTTCAAATGTATTAGTTATTTGTGTGTTGCAATGTAGTTTTAAAATTAATTTTTAATGTCCTGTATTTAACAATTTCTGTACTTATGGTATTTCTTTTCTCTAAAATATCATTAATATGTTTTAAATAAATGTCAGACTAATATTTAGGTCTAGTAAAATTTTAATCTGGGTTATTTAAAGTGTGATCTTTCTCCTTGAAACATAAAACATAAGTTTGGAGTAAATATAATCTTTATTGATCGATTTTTTCGACATATATTTCTGAATAGGTTAGATTGTTTCATATCTTTTAAGAGTAATTTCATGGCAAATTAGATTTTATTATGTTTTATTACAACATTATTACTACACGGACAATAATTATATTCAAAATTTCCACAATTGTAGCACTGTTGACTATAATTTATATAGAAAATGCGCCTAGCTACAATTTATGTCCTACATTACGAACAAATTACATTTAAAATGTTGTATTTAACTTCACAATTTTGTTAAATATATTCACTTCCTGTTTTGCTATAGAATATACGAGACATATCCACAAGTATGAGTATTAAACTTTTTAAAAAACGAAACGGCAGTATATTTATGAAAAATTTACGTATTCGGAAAGATACGTCAAAACACTATTTTTCGATGTAGTCGCTTTCAACCTCAATGCACTTTGTGAGCCGAGGGATGAGCTTTCAGATACTTTTATCAAAAAAAAATCTCCCGCCGCTTCTCGGGTTCACTGTTTCACGACACTATGGACCTCATGAACAATACAGTCAAGGAATTGTCAACCTGACGGGATTTGGAATAGCGATACTCATTTCAACACGCCACTACAACGACAGTTCTAAACTGACTGAGACAAATGAAGGCACGTTCTATTCCCAACATCTTGGCCTTGAATGTAGTGTTGTCGAAAACAAAAGCTACAGAGCATCAGAGTCTCAGTACTCTTATTTTATGGATATGCATCATACGTAATTGTGTTGAATAAATACTAATAAAATTCATAAATTTTCTATAAAATCTATATACAGGTTCGGAAAGTCCCCATGGTACATCGGCCGTTACGTGAGAGCGATAAAGTAAGTCATAGAAATCCGTGTGATAGACAAGGATGATTACATTGAAAACGTTTCATAATCTGAATAGTCACTCCCACTTCTAACCCGAAACGGGCGGATTATTCAGATTATGAAACGTCTTCACTATAGCCATCCTTGTCTATCGCACGGATTTCTTTACTTTACTTTGTCGCTCTCATGTAAAGGCAGATGGACCATGTGGATTTTCCAGCCCTGTATAGTAGCTTTTGCTATATTACTTGCTGTATTACTATTGAAAATTTTCAAAATGCTTTTGTACTGAAAAAAATATGTTGCACAAATTATTACACATATAAACAATAATTATTTAAACAATATTTACTATAAAATTGTATGCCTTATCTAATAAAGGCGTAAAAGCCACAGGTGTAACAAAGACTGTGCATGCCAAAAACAGATTTTACTCAATACAGGGTGTTAATGAACTTATGTCAAATATTTTTGCCATACACAATTAAAATTATGACTTTTTTTGCATACAATAAGGACTAATAATATAGTAATTTTTATAAGGCAGTTTTGATGGAAATTCTTGTTTAATATATTGTAACGAATTGGAAAGGCACACAAGGAATCATGAATGAAAAGTTACCTGACCGAACTTTGGATCATAAATAAAAATTAATTATTAATATAGCAAACAATAAATTAGTATAAAATTGTTAATATAAAGACTCTGAATAAAAATAAGTATCAATTAAAGAATATCACATAGTATAAAACTGATAATTTAAATTTAATTCACAAGTATTAAATAATTTTTCAAAAGAATGCATGACATCGACACTTGTTAACACTCAGTACAGTGAGAAAACAGAATTTAATACCAGAGTGACATATATCAAATGAAAGCCCAATATCCACAGATGAATCTGATATGCATATTTTAGGTAGACGAGTAACTGTAGAGAAGATATCTTAAATGAACTGAAGTCATATATGAAATTTTTTTATCAAATGTCAAATTAAATTATAATTTTATCAAATGTCAAAACTAAAGTTGGCTTTACAAGTATCAGAAGATGACCTAGAAAAAGAACATAAAATAAGGAATATTTTAATAATTAGTAAGAGATTTGTATGTTAAAAATAAAAGGACATTGTAAAAAATGTATTAGTTATAAGACGTGCAGTGAAAAGTGTTGTGAAAAAAGGACATCCAGGGACTGGAATTTCTGTAAAGGGACCTTAAGACAAATTGAAACCAGAGAATTCTAGAAGGATGAGAAACAAAAGTTTGTTGTTTAGTTACGGCTTGGTTTTTGGCAAAAAGCTAGAAAGGAGAAGCAGCTCCAACAAAATTTAAATTAAATTCAAGGGAAACAGTCAGGAAGTAAATTAAACTTACTAGTAACATCGAAAATCGTTTGTCTTCAAAATC